TTGCTGGGATCCTATGACCCCAGCTGACTTCCTGCCCTTTGGGCAGGGGGCTGGACTCGATGATCTTCCGAGGTCCCTTCCAGCCCTAATGTCTATGAAATCTATGAAATCAAAGGGTGTATGAATAAGATTTTACGGCAGCCAACCAAAGGCAGGCAGGTAGGCACTGTGCCACGCACCAAACCTCCAGCACAGCGAAGTGCAATTGCCAGGGGGTGTTGCTTGTCTGGGGGTGGGGGGAATGAGGGGTTAAAATAGCCCCTGGTCCTAAGTGTGTTGGGGGGGGGGGCAGACAGCCCTCACACACCCCACACCTCCTGAAGCACACTGCTAGCCCCTCTGATTCCACCAAACCCTCTCAGACCCCTCCAAACCCCTTCCCAGGGACCCTGATTGCCTCCACAATCGCTGTGATCCCCTGCACACTCCACTAACCCCTTGATCTCCCATATCACTCAGTGTGGGCACTTCCCCCTCTTATGCTTTCCATGGATTCTGCTTCCCTTCCCAATCTCGCAGACAGCTGACTACATACCCTGCCTACTCCCCCCAGCCACCGTGTGGACTTCTGCCTGCCCCGCCAATCCCCCAAACCCACCACTACCCCACTCATCTGAACTTACTTTAGATCAGGTTGCCATTTTTAACTCTAACTGCCCCCTTACTTCCACAAATGTCTGTACATACCATTAAGGAAAAGTGGAGGTCTTATTCTGTTAAAACTTCAATAATTTTATATCCTTGAAATAGGTATATACCTTTTGACACACATCTCTACACTCATATGTTTACTCAAACTCTACAGAATATCTAATGCCATGTGCCAGTAATCTATGTAAGGAAACAGCTGCTCAGCACCACTGCGGTAGGTGGGGGCTACTTTTCCACTGCTCTCTTCTGGTTTCAGAAGCAAATGAGCTTTTCTAGACCTTGAGCAAACTCAGGAATCTCATGTCTTTAGACTCTAGCACGTACAGGCTTTTACCTGACCTACTAGCACTCCAAAGATGTCCATTGTTTAGAGACAAGCAGGTACTAGATCCCATCCTGAAACCACTAGAGGGATTTGTGTATCACCAGATCATCTCCTGTAAAAGCTACGTGGAAAAGTACAATACCATCTCCTGACACAACTCCTACCTGGAGCTTGCCCCTTCTACCCTGGATCTCTTGAGCTGAGGCTTCCTCCACCTTAAGCTGTTATACCAGTCATGCTACCGTACAGGACATCTCAGCAACCCTCGACCCACTTTTCTCTTAAAGCATCAAAACTCATAAACTTCACAATTTTAGAAGTCAGTGAATGTGCACACAGTCTTCATTCACCCGGTCCCAGATATTCAAATTCTTAAAGAGCAGATAAAAGCAAATTAGCACAATCAAAGTAAGCACAAAAGAGTTTCCCACCTCTCTAGCCCATGCACTCCAACAAGGAGAGGCAGAAAACACACTTCTCAGCAACTGGACCCTGGATACTACTGGCAGTATGCAGATAAACACCACAGAGAGGTTGTCGCACAGAACACAAAGTACCAGGCTTAAACTTATGAGATTGTAGTGAAACACTTAATCAATGTATCTTTTTTTTTCCAATTAAGGAAACCTTCAACGAGAACTTGGTAAGTTTTTCTCTGTGTCCAACACAGCTTTTTCCCTGGTATTAAATGTATCTAGAGCTAGCTGCTAGATTCCTTCTCTTCATGCTGGAAAGAACAGAAAACTGGCAGCAACACTAAGATGCCCTTGGTTGAGAGCCCTCAGGCACTCCTTCCTGGCCTTTGTCATCATTATCAGCCCAGAGCACTGCCGCAGTTACAGCAGTTCATGGAGTGAAATTGGGGACATTAAGGTAACTGGAGATGCAGCCATTAATTATTTTGTACAAGGGCTTAGGATAGCATCACAATGGTTGGGAATCATTGAAGGGACTTGAACATGTGCCTCATGTATACAAAGTACCCTAAGCCATGGAGAAAATAGGCAGCTTTATTCTGTACCTACCAGAAATTTCTCAGTCAGGTCAGAGAGAATGATTAACAGTGATCCAGCCGAGATGGCAATAACAGGAATATCTCTGGAGCCAGGCCCTGCCCCAGGAAATGGTACAGCAGGTCCAAGTAGGTGGTGTCCGGATACTGATGCTCCCTTGTCACTGCAATTTAGAGAGGCCAAGCAGCACCTAGAGGTTTGACATCACTTCGATGGATGAGGTCTGTATGGATTTATTGACATGAAAGGACAGTGTCCCAGTTAGTTCTCCCACGTGTTGCCCCATCTGTGTGCAACATCACTCTGGTCATTCCTGGCTTTTGTTTGGGCCAGATGCTCCTCATCTAAGAATGCTTTTATGGCTGCATTTGCTCAGATAAATTCTCACCATTATTTCTCTGTGTTTCAGGGTGGAAAAGAGCTGTGATCTGTCCAGGTAATGAAAGTTCATATTGAATCAATGGTCTCTTCCTGTTATTTCAATTCCCATTTTTCCTTTCTCGTCAAATTCTTAGGCTCACTAATAGTTTCTTGCAAGAAGTGGTTTTTACTAAGGTCAAAGAACTCAAAATCTCCTATGGCCAGATTTTTTTTGAAGGTACCTAGAAGTCCCCACCACACACAGCATTTTCAGTTTCCACTTGTGAGTGTAAATGGCAGGTTTTAATCAAGTGAGTGCCAATTCCTCTTTTGTACAGGTAGAAATACTGTATCCCCTGCAGCCTGGGCATGTAACTATACCTGTGTTGTCTGAGCATGTGAAGCAGGCTGTGTATTGGCAATGGAGGTGCACTGCTACATATGTGTGTCCCTTCTGGATGTGTATTGGTGTTGAAACCTTGAAAACGTGAGATGGCCAGGAATATGTAACTAGCAGGCATCAAACTGCACAAGATGGGGCAGCACCCTTGTATTTTAGCTCCTACATTTGCCTGCTTAGGGCACTTGTTCAGGAAACCAGAGATCTGGTAGCGAGTTGCCCTTTACCCCAAAAGGTTTTGAACCTCTTTTTCTCACTCTCTCTGATTTCCAAGTACAGTGCTTTAATCATCCTAACATCATTCATGCATTACCCCAGGTTGTCTTGGTTGTTACCAGATTTGCCTATCACTTTGGGGTGCCCTCATTTATTAGGGATATGTTTCTAGGGTCTTTGTAATTCTATCAATGTGCTGCTTGTGTTACTTGTGTTTCTATACGGAGCTGTATATCTCCCTTCTGCAAGTCCTCACCCCCCAGTGGAGCTGTCTTGCAGGACTCAGTTTCAATGGGGCTGAATTCTTCGTCACTAAATCAGTCAAATACACACACACACAGATTAACGTGACATGTCTGACCCGGCTGGGTTGATCAGCTTGGACAGGCTGACACCCTCATATGCCAGTTCATTAAGGTAACAATAAAATGCAGTCACACACAAGCACACAGATAACAGAATACTGCCGAATCCAGCTGGATGTCTAGCTGACACCCTCATGGGACAGCATTCAGTTCATTAGGGCATATCTGAGCCAAACTGGGTCAATCAGCCTGTACAAGCTGATCCCCGTATGTGATTCAAACTCAGCACATCCCAGTCTTTTGCCCTATCTGTCCTAGTAGTGGTAGCTTCTTGCTCAGCAGACCCCACAGTATTTCTGGGCTCCACAGGGATCTTTGGCTTAGGTAAAAGAAGTGTTGCTGCAGAGCAAGTGGGGAAGAAGTAGAGAAGGAAAAATATACCCAGTTACTACTGTTTTGACTATAAAAGTTATTTATTGCTGAGTATATGAAATGTATAATGGTACTAGTAATAATAGACATGCAAAGGAAAACAAAACAATTACAATACTACCCTGGTTTCACTCAGTATTTGGGGAAACTTAGCTCAAGCTTAACTAATACAATTCAGGTTCAGAAATGTATGCCTAGAGAGAAGAAGAGAAAGAGAGAGAGTGAGAGCTGGGGTCTCACCAGTCCAAGGCACTCAGGTTGTTTGCTGACAGGTAAAGTTCTCAGTACGATCCTTGAAGGGAGATGATCGGATTCTCCCAGCTTCTCCCAGCAGCACATTGTTTGCTGCTTTTACAGATTTTTATACCCTCAGTTCAGCTTCTTCAAAGCATTCTTTGAATTGTGAAAATAATTGTCTTTTCTATTGACAAGGGGTTATCTGGGTTGGGACATCTCAAGAAACTGATTAATAACCAGGAAAAACATACGGTTAAGGAGTAACCAGACACTTGAAATTCTTATGGATAGCAGAAAAACTGGATGGGATACCTCATTGTTTCTTCTCAGATGGCTTGCAGTGTCAGGGTTTTGTATTTTATCTGTAGTTTAGGATGAATGTTTGTGAACTTAGTGGGGAGGACTTCTTCCAGTCATCCTGGGAAAAGTATGACAGCATTTGTGGTCAGGGCTCCAAGTGGCTGGATGCTGTGATGAACCCTTAACCATTGTTCAAATGTTGCCCATACCCACTCTGACTCGGTTTCTTGCCTCAGCATTCCCTAAGCTGGTGACCGAGCTTTAGTCAATCAAGTTTAAATAGGCCTCCCATAGTGGGACTGGGGAATGTACGGCCCAAGATGCCTAGTAAACTTTTCTTCTGCTTACTTCTGATTAGATGAGGTATGTGTGTGTGTTGTGGGGAGGAAATAGAAAAAGTCCATTGTAAGTCCAGCAAGCTGGGTGCCAGGCCTCCCACAGGAAGACAGAGGTGACAGGTAACATGGTCACTCCTTCTGAAACTGGTCAGTCAGGAGAGAGAGAGATGTGGGGCCAGGAGAGAAAGAGCAAACTAGCTGTGTCTGGCTCAGTGAGGTGGCTGCAGCTGCCCAGGAAGGGATAGGGCCCTGGGTGCTAGCCTAGAGCCTTGTCCCGAATGGGTCTAATATCTCTCCGCTATGTGGCAGTCCAGGAGTTGGGTACATAATAAGAATACATTAAATCACTCATACATTGAAAGTATCCTCCGTTTTTGGCTCCTGCGAAGAACTAGTCACCTAGAAGCACCATCTATCTTGTCTTTGAAAGCCTGCCTGGCCCAAGTAGAGGTTGGTTGGAAGAGGTAATAGGAACTTGACAAAGAGGCCTCTAGGTCAGTAATAACATGGGCACAGTTTTGATGGGAGGCGTTTGTTTAGTCTTAGACTCATACATGCGTAAGTCACTTGGATAGTTCTGAACATTGTACCCACTGCCCATTATTTCTTGTCTCTTCTGTGTTGCTGGTTAAGCACGTTGACCCCCTTTCCTCACAGTGGTGCCTTGTCTGCATGGACAAAGACTTGCCAGAGCTGGCAACTGTGAAGAGGAAAGTCCAAATCCCCTTCTATGTGACAGTTCCCCAAAATGTTTATGTCATATCACCTGGAAGTAGAAGGAAATGCTCTTGTACTTTCTGCCACTATTACTCCATAGGCCTGCCCATTCCTGCATTTAACTAAGGTGGGATTTTCCATTATATGAAAGGCAGCAGGAGCAAGTCTTCATTAATAGTCTTGCCATGCTTCTAAAGAGCGTTTGCAGGGGAAGTTTTCTTTAGTATCAGCAACTAGGTCAGCAACAGAGTTGTAAGTAATACCAAAGACTGATAAGTGTGTGGTCCTGTGATAGAGAAGCCATCACAGTGTCTGTGTCTTGGGTATTAATTATGGCACACTGAAGTTTTAGATCTGTTTATCCCAATGTGATATTGCATGTAATAATGCATTGTTTATACATCTCTTCTAATGAGTTCTCATGTCTGATTCTGTGCTTGCTTTCAGGGCTGGGACAAACTGCACCGCCTCTGGAAAAAGGTACAATGTTCAGATTATATCAATTGCCAAGTCTCCCCAACATTGGGAACCTATCAATTTGGATCCTTTAATAGATTAATACTATAAAGATTAACATATGTATTAATTATTAAGATTAATATATGTATTAATAGCTGCTGATCAGAATGAGTGGTGCTATGTCCTCTAACATTTCTAGTGCAGTACTAGTGGATGGCAGGGAGGGTAATGAATAAGAGAATAAGGGACAGATCACTCTACATATATCTAGAGTTTAGCGCTCTCCTCCCATAGCATTGGCTTTTTCCTCTGTTGGAGGAACTTTTCATGTTCTTACATTCTTACTGAGTGTGGAAACACATAACAATTGAACGGTTGCACAACATCACAGACTGGGGACTGGTTCACAACTGTTGTTTGTCAGAGATGTCCATATATACAGTGCACTAGCATTCTAGGTAAGACAATTACCCTTTAAGCGCTGAAGTGCAGTGGCTGTGACAACCAGGGCTGGGGCAGAGTGAGCACGCAGCCCAGGATGTCTTGCAGTGGATGGGTTCATGGGAGTTAATCTATAAACAGTGCCAACAAAAGATCAGGGAAAAGAGGGACAATAGGATTCTGGCCACATACCAGAGTAGCCAGTTGCATCAGTGGGCCGGGGGGATGAACCAAAATACAGTGAACTGGTTAAAAAAAACACTTCATTTTTCCCGGTACAAAATGAACCTGTACCAGAAAGCTTTCAAACCACTTTAACAGGTTTGTACATTTCACCTAGTTTAAGCCAAGAAACAGACATTGCCCAACTGAAGGGATCAGCTGTAGTATGACACATCACATTAGGAACTGATCTGCTTTCCTGAGTGACACACATTGCCCATTGTCCCACCCTGGGCCCCCTGCCTGATGCAGGACAACAGATGATGTGTTCCCGGTCCCTTCCTGCCTCACATCAGGTCCTGCAGTGACACAGGTGACAGGGAATCCTTGGTGCCCTGAGCCTCCTTGTCAAGATCCACACTGACCCATGCTTCAGGCACAAGCAGTTCAGGATGGGGTGGAGGGAGACTAGGTTGCAGGAGTCAACGAATCTGCAGCACGGGTCAGCACGGTCCATGCCTGGCGGCTTAGGGCACTGGAGATTACTCAGATCCTGTGCCCCCCCTACACTGGGACCTACACTGACCTGTTCCTCTGAAGGAGGCATGGGTCAGTGCAAGACCTAGCACAGGTCGCAGGGTGGAAGCCCTGGGTCATACAAATCTTGCAGTGAAGTCATGAGGCCCGCAGGAGTCCCTGAGTCTTGTGCCTCCATACCAGGAGACACATTGGCTTTCCTCATTTACAGTGATGTGCCCCAGGCCTCTTTATACACGGAGAAAATCAGGTGGGTCCCTCAGAGGCTTGAAGGGATCAGGATTGGGCCCTTCAAGCCCCCTCAAGCTGCCAGAGCACCTGCCCAGGGTGAAGAATGTGTTTCTGCCCTAAGTGTTATGTGTGTCCATGCCCCATATGATATATCCTTTGTTTTGTCTCCACGTGGTAGTGGGTGGGGATGTCAGTTCTCAGGGCAGGATTCCCACATCCTCATGCTTTTCAAGGCACACCATGAGATGCAGGAGCCCATGACACAGTACTGGATCTGCATGGGACTGCATCTCCTCCTCCAGACCCTTCTTTGCCTGCCTCCTGCAGAGGTTTCTGAGCGGTCCCTCCTCCCTTCCTCCTGATCTCCCCCTTCCCCTCAATTCCCTGCCATGTTTGGCTACACGGTCAGCAAAGTGCCCCAGCCACCATCACAGGCCAGGCTCCTCCACCTCAACCACTATTCACTGCTGTTCCTCCCTCCCTTATTGACTCTGTTATGGATGAGGCAGGACAAAGCCATGATCTGTGGAAAAGGGGCAAAGTGAACTTTCTGTCTCTGAAACAACAGCCCTAAAAATACAGAAATGGGAAATGGAGAAAATATGAATGAAAGTTAAACTTAGGAGAGAGCAAGAAAAATCTGGGTATTTCAAGAAACAAACTAGGGAGAGACAGGAGAAATAAAATATACACAATGCTTAAGGTACTAGGAAGAAAGACAGATCAGTGAGAAAACATGATGAGGCAATGACTTGAAGGCCTGAGTGCTGTGGGGCCAGGACCAAAATATTTTCGGGTGGAATAACAATGAAAAGGGACTTGAGGTTGACCAGAAAGTCTGAGGAGAGAGCAGGAAGCTGCTTGCTGAATTGGTCTGGACAAAGGGGCGTTGGAAGGGACTGGAGTTGGTCAGGGTGGCTGAGGGGAGTTGTGTGAGCTCCTATCTGCACATTCATACACCAAGACAACTGTGTCTAAACTGCTACTTTATACTTCCCCTGCCTTATGTCAATCTCTACCTCCTTCCTTTGGTTTCTCTCTATCTCCTTCCTACCCGGTACTACTCTCTCTTCCTCTTCGTGATCCCTTCCCTTGTAAGTCTGTCCACTCTCCGCTAGCTTTCCCTCCTTTCCTCCTGCTTTTACTTCCCCCAAGTCTGCTTGTCAGCACGATTAGTGGTGATGAGGGAAAGGAAGCATCCAGCTTTTCTCTCCCCACAGTCATTGGGCCTGTATGTGAGGGCATGTGACTCTCCTTTCATTTCCATTCTTCCACACTGGGGACACAGCAGTTCTTGAAACAATCGCTGACTTGTAGGGACTAGTTGGGGACTACTCCTCTAAATCGTACTTGCTGCAGGCCCAGACAGATGAAGAAGAGCTGTTTCCACCAAGAAATCTCTTAAGATGAGTTGGAAGAGCAGGCGAGCTGCTATAATTTCAGTAGTTCCTGGGGTTGCTTTCCTCCTCCATCCAACCATCATGATATCAGTTTTCATCTTTCCATATTAATTAGAGGAAGGGCACTTGATGCCCAAAACTTTGTCCAACAGCTCTTCCAACTGTATAGTCAGACCAATAAAAGATACCACAAAAACATCCTGGTCTCCGGGACATTTCCCGAACCATTGCAGCCAGAGCAGTACTCCAGCTCTCTTTATTAAGACTCCAAGTGCACTTCCTGACTTCTAACACAACTAACTGTCTCTTTGCGTAAGTCACTTATGGCTTCCTCGCTCCCTCTTCCCCACACATTATCTCTTCACTCTCACCTTCAGCCTTTCCTATTTGTGTATATATTTTATGCCCTCCCATCTGCTATGACTAAGGCTGTTCCTTTTGGGTAAGATCTGGAAACTTGGGAAATTGGACTTGCACTTGAAATCTGGGACACAACACATCTTTGTGACATGTGGACTGTTTGGGTCCAAGTTTTAATTTCTTTGGCTGTGGTTCGGTGGAGCGGGAATGTCTCTCCGGGAAAGGGCCCCCAGAGTCTGAGAGCGGGGACGGTGGAGCAGGGTGGGATTGAAGACAGGCAGTGGACAGGGCAGAGGGAGATGAGCTGTATCCATGCTCTCCCCTTCACACCCTCTGCCCGGGGTCCCCCATCCCTGCCTGTGACCGGCAGGTGCAGGAGGGGAACGATCCCGTGCCCCACCCCTGGCCCAGCCCGTGTCTTTCTGTCCCTGGCCCGTCTCTTCCTGCCAGGGGGGAATCGGCCCTGCCCTTTGCCGAGGTCTCCGGGCTCCTTCCTGCTCGGGTCAATCCCGGATTCGCCTCCAGCTGCAACCAAAGCTGCCCCTGCCTTGATCACAGCCTGTCCTCGGGCTGAGCGCTGCTCCTCACGCTCCTGTTGTCTCCTTTCCTCGCAGAGGACGTGACTCTGGATCCAGACACGGCTCATCCCGGGCTCGACCTGTCTGCGGATGGGAAAAGTGTGAGATGGACATACAGACGGCAGGATCTGCCTGACAATCTTGAGAGATTTGACACTTGGCGCTGCGTGACTCTGGATCCAGACACGGCTCATCCCGGGCTCGACCTGTCTGCGGATGGGAAAAGTGTGAGATGGACATACAGACGGCAGGATCTGCCTGACAATCTTGAGAGATTTGACACTTGGCGCTGCGTGCTGGGCCGTGAGGGATTCACCTCCGGGAGACACTGGTGGGAGGTGGAGGTGGAGGTGGGGGAGAGGGGATGGTGGGCCGTGTGCTCTTGGGGTCAGTACGAAGCTCTCACTGCCCCATGTCGCACCCGCCTGTCCCTGCGCCAGGTGCCCAGCAGGATGGGGGTGTATCTGGACTGCACATTGGGGCGGGTGTCATTTCTCGATGCTGACACCAAGGCTCTGATCTTCACTTTCTCGCCGGCCTTGTTCACGGGGGGCAGGATCCGGCCCTGGTTCCTGGTGGAGGTTGGTGAAATCAGGCTCAGACGGTGCCAGTGAGAGGGAAAGGAAACGTGCAAGACGGGACCTGCTCGTTGTCCCCTCCGGCCTCAGTCGTGCTCATGTCCGTGACCCTGGAGGACTCCTCTTGCTGCAGACGATCAGCTGTGCAGTGTCCGTGGCCCTGGACACGCAGGCTGGATTTCTTCATCCCCCGACCACGGCGAGCAGGACGTGGCTGAGCTGGACGGTCGTCTCTGCCCGGGTGTCGTTTCCTGCATGACTGAGGGGCCCTCGGGGGCCTGTGGGGTCCGGCACCCACGGGTGCAGCTGGGGGGTCAGGGGAGGTGTGGTGAAGCGGAGGCACCAAAACCTGGGGCCATTTGGGTTGGGAAATGCAGTTGAACCCGGCCCTGGTGTTCATTGCAGCGCTCCTAGCGCTGCTTCTCCAGAGCCTGCGGTCCTGAGACATGGAGTCACTGCAGCTGCTTAAAACATGATTTGTGCAAATTTTGGCCCTTTCCCCTCACTCTGATTATTAAAAAATCACCCCCAAGTGAATCATTGTCCTCACGATTGCAGTCAGTAAAGCTGTTGTTGATAAATATAGAAGTAGGTTCTGCTTGGAGATTTATTTCTTTATTTTAACATCTCATTCCCTTGTCACAAGCCGCTGGCTTCAAGGAATTCGATTCCTCATGAACCAAACCGATTGCCTTCCCTGGGAAGTTCGCGTGGCAGTTTGGGGGGGCTGTAGGCATCACTTTTTCGGCTACCTCTGAGCCAGATGGACACAAAGCTTTTCTACGGTTGTCGCCCAATTGCACTCGGCCTGTTGTCAGCGTGTCCTTCCTGGTGATTTACAAACCCAAAGGTCAGATGGTGGAAAATCAAGAAAATGTGAAGTTCCTGCTCACACGCCTTACAGGACTATGATAGTAAGAAATATCAGTGACCTTTCTGCTCAGAGTTAGCGATATGTAAACTGTGGGGCAAAACTTATATAAAGAATGAAATTGTCCAGACCCAGAGTTAAAGTGACCCATGCAGTAAGAGAAGTCAGCAATCCCTTGATTTGAGGATGATCTCTGCCATGTCTCACTGATGGGACTGGAGGTGATTTCAGAGTCTAATCCTTGAGCCGTCTCCTGAAGTTGTAGGACTTCTGGCAATGCCATGACATGTGGGTAAAGAGAACAGGACTCAGCCCCTGCCTCTGCCCCTACAAGAGCTTGACAGAGTGCCACCAGGGCAGCAGGGCAGAGTGGTCCTGAAATGCTTAGTCTGCTGGACCCCAAGGGGAATCACAACCAAGGTCGCCCCTCTCTCCTGACACAGCTCAGCCTGTTTGGGCACAAAGGGATGCTCAGAAAAGCAAAGGGCCCCGGGACCATTGCAATCCCCACTGCCCTCAGGACCCCTGGCGCTGGCCCTGACACCCTGGGCCCTTTGCTGTGCACCATTCCCAGCCGTGGTGCCCCTTTGTGTGTGGGCCTCCCCTGTCTTGTTTGTGTTATTATGCACTTCTGTGATCCCAAGCATCTGAGTCATTTTCCTAAGGCAGGACGTGCCAAGATTCCCAAAGAGCCCTGGGGCAAGAGGAACCCTCCCACACCCAAACCTCACCCCAACGCTACAAACCCTCCTAAACCCAATGCCAGCTGGGGCCCCAGAGAGCATACCACCCAAGGCAGAGAGGAAGGCATTGGGACATGGGGGCTGGGCACACCATTGCATACCTGCCCCTTACCGAGAGCTCCACAGGTGCAATGGGAGCAGGCCTGTACTGGTGTGGTAATCGCATAGGGGGCAACAGGCCCAGCAGCACACCAGCGAAGGCCCTGCTCTGCAAGATACCCAGAGCCAGGCTCTGCCATCATCGGAAGTACTGTCGGGTAACAGGGACCTAAACAGCCCAGGTATCAGCTCGTCAGCAGCATGAGGGCAGTTCCCAGGCCTGGGACAGCTGTGTGATCCTTGCTGCCCTGAACCCCAGACTCTTCCACGGCTGCGGGATGCGGACCATGGGGAAACTCTGGGCCCCACTGCCACTGCAACTCCAGGGGAAAGAAGGACGGGTATGGTATGGGTGCACGGGCCCGTCTCCCCAGCTGTTGGCTGGAACCAGCACAGGCTTCTCCCAGGCACACCATCCACACCTGACCCTGAGCTCCATGGGGCTGGGAGCTGCCTCCGAAGCCAGGAACAGCCCCCCCGCTGCCCCAGCCCCCCAAGGTCAGGCCTGACCCCCATGCCTCCTGCCAACCTGGAGCTTGCATGTGGGGGAACCTGGAGCTCCCCACAGGCTGTTTTTTCAGTTGGGCAGAGCAGGGCAGGAGCAGTCCTGGACCAGGCTGATCCTGTTGGGTGCAAATCTGCGCCCAAGAGGCACATGTGTAGGCTTGCTCCCAGGCAAAGTTTAATCCTGGAGTTACTGCCCCACTCAGTGTCTCTCTGTTCCGTTGTCCTGGTCCCTACTCTGGTGTTTCTTACTTCCCAATCTTATTTTCTCTTCTCCCTATAGGTTTTCTTCTTTTGTATCTCTCTATTCACCTCTCCCCTTGTCCTCTCTCCTTCCCCTACTGCTCCTTCACCCTTGAAACTGCTTGGTTTCATGTTGACCAGGGGTGGGGAGTAAAGAGCACCCTCTTCCTCTGGGTTACATGAACTATCCTCTCACTTCCTCACCTTCCGATATAGAGCCCAGCAGTGCAGACAACGGTATCCTCTGCAAAGTGAGAGAAAAAGGAAAGTCATTACAGGAGTCTCCTGACTTGAGTTGTAAAAGCAGGGGAGCTTCTGTGACCAGAACTGTTTCTTGAGCTTCTTTCCAGCTCCATCCTAACCAGCAGGATGCAATCCTTCTCCTGGCCTCAGTTATCAAGACACCACTGTACTCTCCCCACTTTAAATCATGGTCATCTTTGTCTTTCATTCTGTTACTGCATCTGCAAAACCAGGTACATGCTCTCATCTGCCCTTAAAGCAGCCCTTCCTGGTCGAGCCCCCAACACGATCCTCCTGGAAACAGGCATGTGGAGCACAGTGCCCAGGGCAGTCCCACATGGTCCCACCTGCCCCGAATCTGAGTTTTCTGTGGTTTGCTCTGAGGAGTTTCAGAGTAACTCCTATTTTTCAATCAAAGTTGCTGGTATCCAGCACAGCTTGGGGGCTGTCCCTTGTAACAGTCAGAGTTTGGAGTTGGAGAAGTTCTGTCTTGTCTGGGTTGCATGGCTTAGTTTCAATTGCTGCTGCCCAATGTTGCAGGTGATGGAACAGGGGGTGGGGGAACAACGTGACAACTGTGAACTGTACACCATGCTCATCCTATCTCGTTGCCATCTGGTGGGCTTCATGGCCTGGCAGGGCCCAGCACCCAGGCCTGCAATAGATTTCACCCCCCGTGCCCTAAGATAGATGCATCGCCCAAGCACCCCCCAGATCACGAGTTTTGCCTGTCAGCAACTTGAGGGGCAGTTCCCCCCAAACCCCTGCACCTATCTTTTTGAAACCTGGAATGCCTCGTGGCCTCACCAGGGGCTACCACACCTGCAGTTTTCACCCCCTGTGGTGTAACACATAGACGTGACAGGAGTTTTGCTTCCACAAATATGGGGTGCAGTTCCCCCCAAACCCCTGAACCTATCTTCTTAACATTTGGAAGACTTCATGCCCTCAGAAGAGGCTACCACTCCAGCAAGTTTCACCTAAATCAGAGATAAAACAACAAACTTATAGATATTTCATTGATCCCACATTATAGCATATGGCCGGATGTCCAAGGCCTTCGGCTGAATTGAAGCGGCAAACCAATCCAGAGCTCCGGATCAGACTGCTGACATCTGAAGCAGCCGGACCCAAAGCCGGATCGAATACCTGCTGACTCGCACAGGCCTACCCATTAGTCTAAGCATATAGAGGAATATAACAATGGTATCAATATCAAAGGACATGGATACATCCATTATGATGCAACTGCCCGATTTTGTAACAATAAAAGGGTAGAAAAAAGAGTCCAACTTCATACAAGGTCAAAGTTAGAGTGGTTTAGCTCACTTGTCTCTCTACCAAGTCATGCTGACAAACCACGTGCACACTTCAGAGGAGGAACTCCTCTCCTTTTTTAAAGAGGCTTAAAGGCATGCAACCTCATGTCACTAACCAGACCTGTATCTGACTGCCAGCACCATCATATCTGAGTATCCTCCTTAAATCAGGTCACTTTTCTTTTGCTTGTTCCCTTTTCAAACCCCTGTGCAGTTCAGCCTGTTGCATGGCAGGTTTGCAGTCGGTCAGGCCACAGAGAAAAGTGAGATTCACAATTAAATACCTTTTGCTGAAACTGTCCTCCCAGAATCCCTCTCCCATTAGCACCCAGGGAAGGAGCAAAGAGGGGCGAAATCTTAATTCACGTGGCCCCTTCTGGTTCGACTCTTTTGAAGGCCATTCCTTTGACTGGCGTGGCTACAACAGGAGGATAACATTTCTGTGCTACCTGGAATGACAGGTGATGGTGAAGACATAGCCAAAACTTAACAGAAGAAAAGCAGCCCAAGGTCCTAAAAGGTTCATAGCTCTTAACATGAATAATGAGAGAGTTGATTCTTTGAGTATAAGTGTCTGCAGTTAAAAGAACATGTATCATCAAGTTCAATTATAAACAGCAAGATCCAGGTGTGTTGTTAAAAAGTTTCTTTGATATACATAAAGGGTGTGAATCTTTTCTCTTCCTGGTTATCTAAGCATTCATATCTTTTTGTCCACGTGGTATTTTTAGCTGTCAAAGTGCCACAATCCCACTTATGAACCGGTATGAAGTCTATTTCTGGCTGCACAAAAGATTACGTACACACTCTGGGGATGCAAAAGGCACTGGCCACTCAATTATGTATGTCCCTTGTGGACATATAGTGGCCTCCAAAGCCTGAAAATATAGTCAACAAATGCTAGTGACTACAGGACCTTGGACTAATCAGCATGGTAGGAGGGAGAATTATTGTCTTTTGTCACCAATAGTTAAATAGCTAGGGTCCTTCTCACAGAAAGGCAGAGGAGCTGGTTTTGCACCCTCCGCCCCTCAGCCCACCAAAGGGTTAAACATGTTGAGTATATCCTTAATTATTTTGTTTTTATGCCTCCTATGTGAGATATATGAATGTGTGTCTGTAATGTGGGATTTTAAGTAAATTTGGGGTAAAGAGGTGCTGGGAACACAGAGGACTAAACTAGCAAGCGGAAGCTCCACCACCCTGTGTTTCTGAGTACCCAGACTTGCAGTGTATCTGAAACCTATTTGTGTCTTTCCCAGCTGACTGCAATGTGACAGGGTTTGGAATTGCTTCAGCTTTCTCATTGCTGATTGCTTCATTTTACAACTCAGCAAATACTGCAAGAGGAAATCAGTGTCATTAGACTGGGAAAAAAAAAGAAATGTGTAAGCCTGGATGGAAAGGTAATGATTAAACTCGGCAGCTGTTTTATAGCTGGAATTGGTCGGGGAATTTGATATTCTATTTTTCTAAATTATATTTCAGTGTATTTTAAGAAAACAGGACTCAAGACATACCACCAAACTTTTTAGCAAGGTCAGCCAGGGAAGTGAAGTCCAGCTGCTTGACAGAGAATTAGCCGAATGATCCATTATTTACCCTCTAATGGACACCATTTTTGTCAGGTAACTTAATAGTGGAAAGTCTGGGTGATCTTGTGGTCATTTTTCCACTTCTCATGTAAACATTATTTCTATATTCAAAACACATAAAAAATTGGTTGGTTGATTGGGTTTTCCTTCTATGAAGCAGACAAAGAAAACCCCACGAAAGCCAATCCAGCTTTCAATAAAGTTGGGCGGAGATTTGTAACAAAAGAACGCCCTCCATCGGGAATAAAGGAAGGAGCAGACTGTGCCAACCTCTGCTGCCATTTGTGCATTTTTCTCTTTCATTGTTCATTGCATTTTTAAGATTCTGCTTGAAAGCCTGAACACAATGACATTTTTCTTTGAAGGTAGCAGAAGAAATAATATTTCCAAAATGAATCAAATTGGAAAACGCTATCTTTTACTATTTGTGAAATTAGTGGGAATTAAGCCTATTTAAAGCCTGATGATTAGGGAGAGACATACAGGCTGAATTAGCACCTGGGTCTCCAGATGATGGGGATCACTGTTTTGCACTGACTGAGCAAATGTCCCTGGAGATGTGGGAGGGATTGACCAGCCTCACTAGAGCTTCATTTTCAGCTGTGGGAAGCCTTCACTTGCAGTCCTGTGTCCAGCTCTGGGCACCATACTTCAAAAACGTGCCGAAATTATATCAAGTCTAGCAGAGAGCAACAGAAATAATTAAACATCTATGAAGCAAGCCTTGCAAGGAATGGTTGGAACTGGGACTATAGATCCTGGAGAAGGAGGGACAGCAGGGGAGATTTAAAAACACCTGAAAGCCAGGTTAGTTTGTGGTGAGGAAAATTTAGTTGGGATATTAGAAAACCGCTTCCCTATGAGGGTGGCTAAGCCCTGGAACAGATTACCTAGACAGACTGTAGCAGCTCTCTCCTTGGGAATTTTTCAGCGCCGGCTGGATCCACATTTGTCTGGAATGGGTTATGCAGATCAATGATCCTTCCCTGAACAGGGGGTCGGTCTCAGTGACCTCCTGAAGTCCCTTCTAGCTGTCCTTTTGTAAGGTGCTGGGCTGCAGGGAGCTGACAGGCCCATCAGCTTAATTTACCAGTATTGTATTTGATTTGGTTTCCCATTTGTTACAACCCTGTCAACAGGCAACTGGAGAAGGGCGCGAGACTTCAGTAGAGTCAG